AGAGCCGAAAATGTTGAGAAGACACATGCTACTTTCCCTGCCCTGTGCCCCTTTTTCCCTCCCCGTGCCTCTTTTTGCCCCTGTGCAAAAAGACACAGATCTATTTGCGTCTTTATCTAGCAGCAGATATTCTATTATTCTAATAGATCCCTGTTTTTCCCAAGAGGGTTCACTTATTTATTAAGTATGATGCCAACATCTCTCTCAGAGGAATTCCTCTCAGAGGAATCCTAGAAATCTTTCCTAGGATTCCTTAGCCCTAAATCTGCAGAGCCAATTAGGTATTAATATTGGGCTTTACAACTTTGGACCATCAGACCACCAAGACTGATTCATGAAATGTATATGGTTTCAGATCACATGAATTTATCATGGACTTTAGAATTGTCTTTTTAGAAGTACTGCTATAAGGAAAATCCCAGGATAGCAAGTTTTATCTAATAGTCTACTTATATTAAAGACTACTCAATGTAAACCCTAGGAAGACTTTTAACTGCCTTTTGGAAATTGGTTGAGTGGGATTTGAACCACGTACTCTCTGTAAAGCAGGAAATTAGCACTTAGTAATTACTAAGTATTTAAAAATGGGAAATGGAAAATTACATTTTAGACCTGGTGCAGTGGCTCACACCTGTAATCCTAACACTTTGGTAGGCAGAGGTGGGTGGATCGCTTAAGCCCAGGAATTCAAGACCAGCCCGGGCAACATAGTGAGCAATCCCATTTCTACTAAAAATAAAAAAATTAGCTGGGTGTGATGATGTGCACCTGTAGTCCCCATTACTCAGGAGGCTGAGGCAGGAAGATTGCTTGAGCCTAGAAGGTCAAGCTTGTAGTGAGCCGTGACCAGCCATTGCATTCCAGCCTGAGCAACAGAGCGAGACCCTGTCTCAGAAAAAAATGTATATTTTTTTAAAAAGAAAATTACATTTTAGTTGTTCCTTAAATATTAGTACAACCAAACCTAAGTGCAAAATTCCCAACACAAATGATTGCCTCTGGAACCTGCACAGAACCCTGTATGCTCCCGGGAGTGTGGAGCGTGTGTCTGATCTGCTGCCGGGAAAAGGAGAAGACACGCTGACAGACTCACTGCCAGGGACTGGTATCAGGCCATTTTCACAGGGGCTGTCGGAGGGTTGACAGCACAGCTCTACTGGACCAGGGAGGGTCCCAGCCAGCAGGGCCTGCCCCTCCAAGACTATCCCTGTCCCTGTGTCTGAGAGGTCCCAACGAGTGTTAGATGGCACATAAGAGATTTCCTTATGTGTTGGTGTGAAGGAGCTGATCAGTTCCAGGAGACCCCTCCCCCAAGCAGAGGAGAAGAAAATGGAAGAAACTGGGTTCTCAGAATGGCCTGCAGGTGAGTGCCTCCTTGTGCTGTCAGTTTGCTTCATCTTCCAGTTCTGGGTGTACCTAGTACGATTTCATCAAACTGCAGAGGCCCGGGAATTGAGGGAGGTTGCTGAAGGGCGCCAGGCCACAGAAGCAGTAGCAAGAACTGCAGGAAAGGGCTAGTGTGCCTCCAGGGTCAGCTTTTGGGCCTTGGTGGCATCAAAGGAGAAGTACACAGGGCCACTGTACTACGGATGGGATTCTTGGAACAGAAGTTTGAATAACTGATGAGTGTGGAAGTGCTATGCAAAAATTCAATTCAACCTGCAGTTACCAGGCATTCATTCTGTGATAGGAATTGTTGTGGGAGTGGCAAGGAGATGGGGGGGGTCTTTGAGGGACTCAGAGAAGAGCAGGACATGGTGTTCACCCACAAGAGATCTGAAGACTTTCAAAGTAGTTGGCAAAACAGACATACAACTTTTTTCCCCTCCCCGCAGCCAGTTGAGGCAAAAGACATATAACTTATACAGTGACAAAATACTGCCAACTGTTACTGACACATAACACCCTGGGCTGGGTCACTGGTGAGAAGAAGGAGGATTCTGGCTTTCGGGGCATTCAAGTCCTGTCCATTAACCATTTCCCAATCCCGTATTTATACATCCCATTTTAGACATATTAAGCTAAAGACTGATGTGACATACCCAAAGACACTTAAGTTTGAAGCTGAGAATCTGGGTTAGAAATATAAATCAGGGTGGGCTGGGAGTGGTGGCTCATGCCTGTACTCCCAGCACTTTGGGAGGCTGAGGCAGGCGGATCACTTGAAATGAGGAGTTCGAGACCAGCCTGGCCAACATGGTGAAACCCCATCTCTACCAAAAATATAAAAAATTAGCCAGGTGTGGTGGCACACAACTGTAATCCCAGCTACTCGGGAGGCTAAGGCAGGAGAGTCACTTGAACCTGGGAGGCAGAGGTTGCAGTGAACTGAGATCGTGCCACAGCACTCCAACCTGGGTGACAGAGTGAGACGTAGTTTCAAAAAAAGAAAAAAAAAAAAAAAAGAAAGAAGTGTAAGTCAAGATTAAAGACAATGGGTGAGATCAGCAAGGAGCAAGTGTGGAGAGAAAAGAACACCAAGAAAGGCTGTGTGTGGTGGGAGGTGGCCGGTGAGCAGCGAAAGAGGAAGCGGACCCAAGGAGATAGAGCGTTGTTTGAATGATGATGCTGTATCAACAGAAATGAAATTCCCAGAGGTGTGAAACACAGCAGATCCTTTACAGCACGATGATAGGACACAGCATGAGCCCACCTCTGCCAGGTGAGAGGAGCTTTCTGCAGCCTGTGGTGGGCTTGAGGATGCCGACCATTCATCCACCCCATCGAGATAGCCCAGGCTCTGAGCTCAGTACTCCCCCCATCACTATGATTGCACTAATCCTCACCCACCCTTGCAGGCAGGCATTACTGTGGGCACACAGAAGTTTGGTAACTTGCCAGCTCCTGTGTAGGAAGCCAGGTCAGGATCCAGCCAGAGTCTCTCTAACAGCCCAGGCCTTGAATGAACACTGGCCTGCTTCAGAATACATGGCCCGCGCTGTGTTCAAATTCACAGGACAGGTTCCCTATAGGGCCTGTGAGGAAATCTGGTCTAAGAGAATCCGGAAAGACAAATTTCGTGAAACAGGTCAAGCCTGACACTGTGCTGCTATGCTTCAGTTGTGTTAAGCCACTCAGTGATCAGACCTGCTTCTCCTTTCATGATTTTAGTAACACTAGTCTCTTCCTTGGGCCCCTCCCTGTTGCTCCCACCATCTCCCAGGTTCTCTTGCACTCAGGTTTAGTCTTCCCTCTCCACTACTGATGATGCATGTATTGCCTTACTCTCCGATCCCCTTTCCTAAATCTGCTACTCCTCTGCTCTTTCTGTGCCTTATCTATCCCTGCTGAGTCTAACATGCAGATTTTGGTCATTCCAAAGTCATGTATAGATCTAATCACAGGGCTCTCTGCTTACCAGCTGCTACTTGGATAAGGAAAGCATGCCAACACGGTCCTCCTTCTTCCTGATGGCCAAGTCAGCATCATTATTACCTAAGTTTATTTCTAACACATCTCAACATCTTCATGTATTCCCTCTTGATAAAAGTAACTGAGCATAACACCATCAATACAATCAAATCTGTCATTCTCTTCCCCTCTCTCTGGGTGGGACAGGAAGCCATGCTGCTCTAGGAAATCTTTCCAAACAAGCAAAGGGGACTTCCCTGTCCCCTCCCATGTGTGACCTGAGCTTGTGTGGATCCCAGGGTGGGCATTCGGGACTACTTGACCTTGCCCATCTCTCCTTCACACCCTCTCATCTCTCCCTACCACCAAAAAGCTTGCATTGTATCTCCAATTTCCAGACATACTTTTGAAACCATTTATCTATCTGGTATGTTTATCTGTATCTAGTATGACATGAATATGTGATTTTTATGTGTGTCTATCACGGTTTTGGTCAGTTTGTATTTCTCGTGGGTACAGTTCTATGTGCTCATGTATGTGGAACATATGTATCCTGACACATGGACCTAGTTCCAAATGATCTGAAAGGAATATAATTGTAATTGAATATTTGCACAGATATCCAACATACACTTGTGATGGCTGGGGGAAATGCATGTGGGATTTTAGTCAGCATTTTATTACAGAAGGTATGTGATTAGTGCTGTATTAATAATGAATCAGCTTATTTGTGGGTCACTGTCAGTGACTCCTTTGCAAATCACATATGTAAATATTTCTGTCTATGGTCTGACGTACATGCAGTGCCACAGTCTGGGAGGTGCTGAGCCATGCCCTCTGTAGGTAGCATATGAAAAGAACTGAATGATTTAAAAGATGCTGACCGGCTTAAGGAAAGCAATTTAAAAACTTTCTAAAAATCTAGTTTGAATGAACAAGTACAATGTTTACAGTTTTCATTGTGTGTGTGTGTGTGTTTTCTTTTAGAGACGGGGTCTTGCTGTGTTGGCCAGGCTGGTCTCTAACTCCTGGGATCAAGCAATCCTCCTGCGGCTCAGCCTCCCAAAGTGCTGGGATTACAAGTGTGAGCCACCGTGCCTGCTCGCCCCACTGTTTTAAACCCTGATTCAACAGTCATACATTTAACTCATTACCTGTCTTCTTCCTCTTATGACAAACTCAAAGCTTTTATTTTACTAAAGTATTTGGATTAATCTTTTGCTTTTCTATCATGTTCTGAAATAGGTACAATAACAGAATCGCTCAAAATATTATCTCTGTTAAATGTTTTGTAGCTTTAGGGAGAGGTCTAACAGCATGTGGGGAACAAGAAACCAAGCGCATACAGGATTCATTCATAATCTCTCTCCCTGAGTAGAAGCCCGCATCTCTCGATATTGTCTGGTTACCTGCAGGAAGTATTCTGAAGTTCAAAGAGGACATTCATGTGCACTCTGGCTTCCAGTTGGCCATTTAAGTAAGTGATCGCAATTAACTGAAGAGCGGCAGGGAAACACTTCCTGGAATTCTCATCCACAGACAAGTACAAACTGGGGCGGGGCCCATTACCTTCACCTACGCGCCGGGAGGGTGGCGGTCTGGCGGGCTGGGCCGGGTTCGGGCCGTGAAGCCGAGAGGTGCGGGGCGCACGGCTAGGAGCCTAGCGCCCCCGCCCGGGCCGGCCCCCATTCCGCCCGCATCCAGCCCGCATCCCGCCGGGGAAGCGAGCCCAGTGCAGCGCTGCCCGTCCAGTCTTCGCCCAAGATTTAAAGCCCGCAAGTTTTGTTCTTGAGACCAGCGACTTTCGCTCCGATGCAGGAAGGAAAGCCGACCTCAGATTTGGACATTTAAAGAGCTGGGCTTGGACTTGGTGAGTTTCGCTCTAAACTGCCCTTGAAATGAAGCTAGACTTGGAGGTAAAGTCACTGGGAAGCTGGCCTGGGGCGGGGTTTCCCCCTCCTCTCGTATTTTAGAAACGGATCGCAGCAGTGCAGCCCTAGTTTGCTGTAAGTTTCCTTCCTTTGTTACTGAGGCCCCCAGAGCTCCAGGCATAAGTGGTGTGACCAGAAACCTTTTAACAAGACCCGCTTGAGAGCCTGCCTTAGAGCTCCCGCTCGGAAACGAAAAGACCACCCTAATCCGCTGCGCGGCAGAACCAGTGTCCTGTGTGGGAGGAACCGCGGCGTGCCCTGGGCTCAGGACCCGCGAGGCCAACACAGTCCGCCTCTTGGCGGAGCGCCCCGGGCCGGTGGTTCCGCGCGGAGTTAGTCTGTGGTCAGTTACGTGGTGAAAACACTGCCGTGCCGCGGCCGCATCTTTCCGCGGGCCGAGGCTTCTCTGGGTGGGAATGTTGACTTCCCTTCCGGATCGCTAAATGGGGAAAGTTCTGGCCGCTCAGCGGGATACGTCTCCAGGCCCCGGATGGTTCGTTCTCCGCGCCGCGGCCCCGAGCTGGGCTCCCTGGGTCTCCCGCGCGGGCTCCCGGCACTGGGGCTGCGGGCCGCCCCCTCCGCCCCGCCCCCGCCCGGCGCGCCTTCTCGGCCGAGCGGTTCGCGGTCTCCGGCGCGGGAGGCTCCGAGTCTGCCCACTCCGGACCGAGCGAGGTCTCCGGGGGGGAAGAGTGGCTAGGAGGTGAGGACACGCTGGTCCTCGCCCGGCGCGTGGCGCCAGGACTTCAGGTGGGAACGCGCGCTCGGGCCGGGGGCGCGCGGCTGGCGTGGACACGGGCTCGGGGCCCGCCGCCCTGGCCCGGACCGCGCACCGCCCAGCGCCGGGAAGCTGGGAAGTCGGGGAGGCCTCTCCCACCGCGGGCCCCGGCAGCCCGCCCTCCGAAAGCGCGGCGGGGAAGGAGGCTCGCCCCCTCCCCGGAGCGCCTTTGTTCCCTCCGGCCTGCCCGCGCGGGTGGCCAGCGGCTGGGACCCAGGCCGGGCCGCCGCCCAGGTGCGGCAGGTAGGCTCGGGGGCCGGGCAGCTCCGGTTGGGGTGGCTTCCCGGGGCCGGCGCAGTCCCATTCCCTGAGGAGCTCCGGCTCCTCGGTGGCGGGACCGGCCCGGGCGCGGGACCCGCGAGGCTAACGCCGCGCCCACCAATTCAGTTGCCGGCCGGGGGCCCCAGGCTTGCGGCCACCCGCCTCCGGCGGCAGGGCTGAATTCGAGTCGACAGCCCGCGTCGGGCTGGAAAGAGGAAACCGCCAGCCTGGTAACGCTTTCGGCGAGTTACTGGCAGGGGGAAATGGGGACAGGGAAGTGGGCAGGCGGGGAGACTGGAGCCGTAGATCTTTCTGGCGGGGAGGTCGTGGCCGCTGTTTCCTTTGACTCTGCCTAATTTCATTTTGAATCCTGATGTGACAGAGGCAATTGCTTGCTTGGATACCATATAGGTAAAAGTAACAGTTTTCAACTCGGCTCTTGACTACACCCTGTACATTCTTGGCCAGTGTGGGTTTTCTTAGGTTACGGATCTTGTTAAAGGGACACTGATGTGGAAACCGCACAGTGGCTGGTGGTGGCCTGAGGCTCATATTTATGGTAATTATCTGATGAAAGTACATCCATCAGAATTGGATTTGTTCCTCTGTGCCTTTATTTTGGGAAACCTTGCCTGGTCCCTGTGGGGGATGGGAGAGGAATGTGAAAAGCTGAAGTTGACCCAGAAAAGTAAGATTGAAGGTAGTTGTATTAAGTGGTGGCACTGAAATGATCCCAACCTGAACTTGCTGAAAGGGTGATTAGTGATCAGCAGCTGATGTTACAACTTTCTCAGAAATTTATGGTAGATTTTCTATCTGGTCACAAGTGAGGAGGTGAAAGCTGCTTTCTCGGACCAACTCTTTGCTTTTAAAGCAAGCTAAATGCAATACCCGAAATGTTTTCCATTCAGTACTTAACCTGCTTGTCCTTCTCTCTCTTCCTTCTCCTCCTGCACACGCTCTGAGCGTTGACTGAGCACTCTCTGAGGAGGAGGCTGACTCAGGCTGACCCTTCCCCGCCCTGCAAGGCTCCCTGTGGCACCTTAAGGTAGAACCAGTGTTATCACAGGAAAGGCCCAAGCCAAAGCTCAGAGCAGCTGTTCCAGAGAAAGTGGGAGATGAGGATGAGTAGGAGGTAGAGATGCTTATAACTGCTCTGCCCAGAGAAAACTCAGAAGGTGCAGAAGAATTTTCAAAATAAAGTACAGGCCCCATCAAGTAGAAAATGAAATATTGTATTTCATTAAAGTGGAGATCAGTTTTCTCTTTTAATAAAAGACATTCAAATGGTGAGATTGTAAAAAACAAACAAACAAAAATAAAACTTTCTAATTCTCAAAAATAGAACAGCTTGAATAATAACTCATGGGTTTTGAAATGGGTCATCTTTTAAAATGGGTCACTTTGGCTAGAATCATTGCACTTGGTGACTCACATTGTAAAGGGTCAAGTTCTTTCTGAGGCCCAATTGCACTAGAATCTGCATTTCAGAACACAGGTGTCAGGAAGAAATGGGGAGAAATTCAGAAGGAAATGGTCTCTTCTCAGAATAACAAAATGTACCCTATTTGGGGGGATTTTATATATGCTGAAGAAAATAGGTCTCAGCTTTGCATTTTTATAATACATTATGCCTTTTCTAAAATATTTCCATAGCCATTATTTTAATTCATTGTTAGAATAACCTTGTAAGGAGAGGAATTCATTATGTCCGTGTTCCAGAAACTGAGGCACAGTAAATTATTACAAGAGCTCTACCCTTTGATATGGAATCTCTGTGAGCAAAGATGTAGCCAGAACAGTGTAAATCTAGAATTAAATACCTTCCTTACAGTATGCAATATCTAACTAATATGTATCAGTTTACATATATATAGGGGATGTAAGAATCTTTATATTTAAAGGATAAGAAACTTGATCAGGTGAGATACGAGATTTGAATGAAAAAGCGATTTTTTTAAAAAAACATTTTAATTCTACAAATTCAGATGCTGGCTTTGATATGTAACTTACTCAGATTTCTCTTCCATAGAAGGTTTTAACACTAGAAGCCAGTTCTCCACAAAAGAGAATGTTCTACCAAGTGTGTAGGCAACAAAGCCCAAAAGTTCAAGTTCAAAAGCCTAAGATCCACCTAATATTTCAGATTTGACTCTTTTGCTCCTTTCCTATAACTTTCTATAACTTTTTCATAGTGCTCTAAGCAAAATAAGTTCAAGGATGGACTCACCTCAGGTTTCCTTCTCTTACTTTAGAGGACCGTATAATCTTATACCTGTGTCATCCTAATTGAAATGTATTTTAAGTGCTTGTGGGAACCATGTTATTTCCTGTCAAGAATAATGGAAGACCATTATTCTATTAATGGAATAATGGGGAACATGAGAAGGACCATATTCAGTCAATTAGGGGCGATACTTCTGCCTCACAGTATTTGCGATGTGTTAAATGGCCCTTAGCCATCAGATCAGTATTTTAAAAAACTCCTACCTAATTAATGTTTTTTGATAAGAAGCATATTATGAGTATAGCTTAGTACTCTAAAAAGAAAAAAACCTGAAAAAAAAAAATCAGCCATCCATGAACTAACCCTGGTAAAGCTACACGAACAGATTCTAGAGAAAGGAAATTTGCACAGATGGAACATCTAATCTGGACTGACATTGTCAATAAGTTTTCTCAGATGATCCTCAGAAAACACTGTCTGGTCCATGGTTTAGACACAAGTCGAGCTCATGTGACCAGTAAATGGAGAGGCACAGTATACATCTACTTTTGTTTGCATTTAAACACTCTTGGCTTTTTTACTCTCTTTCACTTCCATCAGGTCCAGATTCCAGCTTGCACTGGAATATTTACTGACCCTTTGATAGAAGATCTACACCTGAAACATCTCTGAAGTCTTTTGAGCATCCTGTCCATGGCCTACTACACAGTATAAGTTAATATTTGTTGAATTAGTTAAATATAGGTATTAACCTACTTTCAGGGCTGCCCGCTGTAATGCCTAGAACAGGGCAGGCACTTAATAAATGGTAGTTAACTTAGACTAAACATTGATCCACCAAGACAGAAACATGTTACACATACCTCGTTTTATACCATCTTCTACTTTTTGTACCTCTGTGTTATGAACCCTCTATCAAGTGCTGTTTCTAAAGACAATGTCCAGAATGGAACACAGGAACTGCCACTGGACAACAGGCAGACACTGGGTTATATCGTCACCCTGTTTCTGAATCCTGGTTTTTCTTATGATTCAACCATGGCTAACCTTTCTGATCTCCTTTCTTCCGTCTTTTCCCTTTACCCTAACTTCTAGCCAAACTAAGTGATTTGACATTTCCCCATTCAAGCCACAACTTTTTCTCTTACGTGCTTAAAAAAATTCCTGCGTAGTCTCTCTTGGAATGTCTTATTCCCTGCTCCCTCCACTTCACCTTTTTTTTTGTTTTAGACAGAGTCTTGCTCTGTCGCCAGGCTGGAGTGCAATGGAGCCATCTTGGCTCACCGCAACCTCCGCCTCCTGGGTTCAAGCGATTCTCCTGCCTCAGCCTCCCGAGTAGCTGAGATTACAGGCATGCTCCACCACACCCAGCTAATTTTTGTGTTTTTAGTAGAGACAAAAATTAACACGGTTTCACCATGTTAGCCAGGATAGTCTCCATCTCCTGACCTCCTGATATGCCCACCTCAGCCTCCCAAAGTGCTGGGATTACAGGTGTGAACCCCCACACCCAGCCCACTTCACCCTTTTAAGCCAGCTGAAATGCTCCCTGCCGTATTCCTCCCTTCACCTTTCTTTCTCCCATCCAAGTACTAACCAGGCCCAGCCCTGCTTAGCTTCTGAGATCAGCCAGGATCAGGCGCATTCAGGGTGGTATGGCTGTGGACTTCTTCTCTTTCTGAGCTGTCTTCCTCCTTTCCTCCGCAAACCCACATTTGAATTCTGTTCTAGCTCCTGCTCAGTTGCCACCTCTCCCACAAAGCCTTCCCCAATTTCCATCTTCTCCCTGCTTCCCTCATCTCAGAGGAAAGCTCTTCATCCACAGAGCACCTGGTCTGGGGTCCATAGTTTGTTGTCCCTCGGTATCCTTGGGGAATTAGTCCCAGGACACCCCCCCATATCCATGCATGCTCAAGTCCCTTATATAAAATGGTATATCATTTGTATATAACCTATGCAATATTCTCATGTACTTTTTTTTTTCTTTTTATGCTTTTAGAGATGGGGTCTCACTCTGTTGCCCAGGCTGGAGTGCAGAGGCATATAGCCTTGAGCTCCTGAGCTCAAATGATCCTCCTGCCTCAGCCTCCCAAGTAGTTGGGATTATAAGTGTGAGCTACCACACCTGGCCCATGTACTTTAAATAATCTCTAGATTACTTATAATACCTAATGCAATGTAAATGCTATGTAAACAATTGTTACACAGTATCATTTAGTGCATAATGACAAGAAAAACATGTCTGTGCATGTTCAGTACAGACACAACCATACAGTTTTTTTAAGAATGTTTTTGATCTGTAGTTGGTTGAATCTGAGGATGCGGAACCCATGAATGTACAGGGCCAACTGCATATGGGTTTCTAATGACAGATTCGTGGATGAAGGCAACCCACACAATGCAACATTTCAAATGTATTTTAGTTTTTCTGGGACAAAGCCAGCCTAACAAATCTCAAGAATGTTTGAAAAATTCTAGCTTGAG